AGACCAATTCGAAAAAGAGCAAGAGACCTGTAGCGAGTTACATAAAAACGAGGCTATATATAGTCAGGTTTTCTACTGCAAAAATATATCTAAAATGATTGGAAGTAACATCATTTTTGTAACTTCAGACAGGTCCAGAGGAAAAGTTAAAGTAAACATGACTTTGAAATTCCGAAAATGAAAATCTGACTAACCTCGCTTTCGTGTACCTCGCCACAGGCCTCCTGCTCTTTTTCGAATACGTCTATGTAACTTTATACTTGCGAGATAAAATTTTATTTCATGCAATTCATAAATGCTATAGGTAGGTATATTCACTACAAACCGTGGGACAGCGCTTCTTTGTTTCAGACCCACAAAAGGAGTTGCTTTGTCTATCGAATAAATTTGTATGCTCCTTTGATCGCCGACAATAGATCGTAGCACATCGCTGATGAATTACGACATATGAAAACCAGGCTTTATATGACACGTAACAACCTTGGTGAGTACGATGGTAAGAAAGAACATTAAAAAAATTGTATATCAATAAAACTCCATAGGTTTTTTTATAAGTACATCAATTAAATGAATGAACCGTACATCATTTGTAGATATGGGACACTAGGGGATAGAAAACTTCATAATTAACACACCACCTTAGAACCTTACTTAATGTTTCACACAAAATTTTTAAGTGGAAATAAAATTGAAAACCGAAATTGAAATAACAACAAAGCAGAATAACTATAACAACAAAGAGGACAACTTTGAAGTCACAAGACTTGTCGCTGTCACAAAATTCACCCTAATAGTGAGCGATAACTAAATTTGTAAATATGCGACAGCTTAGAAGCCTGGCTATTCTCTTAAATCGTAAACATAACGACAATGTAGCATTTTGGCTGTTTTTTATTCTGGAGTTTGAAAGACAAATGAAGTTCCAGTCCGTCGACATTCCATTCAACAAACATTTATAATCAGGAAACAGGTTTTAAAAGCTACCACAATATAAATCAAAAGGTTTCAAAAGCCGAACAGAACACGTGACGCGTCTAATCAATGTTTATGTGTTTGAAAGTGATAATTAACAGATAATTAACGTGTTTAAGCGTATAGTGTTATGTTGGCCTTATTCTACAACTCCACCATCATCCGTAGAAACATGTATATATATTCAGAAATGTGATGGTTATAGTTGTGGGAGATTTAACGTGTAAAAGGATCCGAAAAGTGCATCTAAATATGAAAATACCTGAAATCATTATACGGTGTATTATGCGAACAATTATAAAACGCATGGTTGACTGCATATGTGAATAGAATGAACACTGTTCCAGAAAATATTTGTATCCATTACACACAATCCTCTCTCTGTGTTCTGATTTATTCAGAACAGTATATAAATGTATAAATGTAGCAACCCTTTTGTGCCGACAGGTTGCCTCATACATCGCTGCATGATATCTCAATCGAAATCTGTAGTAAGTGCTAAATTACTAAAACTAAAAACCAAACTAAAACGAAATACTGCGAACTAAAACATCATGACATACTTTGAAATAAAATCAATTCATAAAGCATGAATTAATATATTGAACGTAAGCAATTCTCATGACCAGTTCTCTCATTATCATTAAATATATCATTTGTTTAACGTAGCAACTATAACAAACTTTTGGATAATTCCCGAGTTACTATGGTTCCTAATGATGAACATTACATTCTTTTCTTTTCTTTAGTAAAACAATGAAGATTGAAGCCCGTTTCAGACGCACTTTTCATGTGTGTCGAACCAAATGTATGTTAATTAACTAAAGTCTTTGTTTAAGTTCATTTGCATTCGGTTTTGCACCTGAATAGTTCGACGTCTCAAACGGGCCTAAATCTTAGAGAAAAAGAATTGTCTTTTGAAATGAGTATTACAACCATTTTTGACTTAAAAAAGCATTTTTGTCAGGTGATAATTATTTATTCACTTTGCCTAAAGGGAAATTAACCGATCAAGTCATAAGGCGGTCCACTCGTTAATTCACCTATATTCAGTTTCATGGACAAAAAAGGAGTCTGTCACAGCTTAATTCATTTGCTGTCCTCAGTCTCAGAAACGTTCTGAAATTTACTTTTCGCTTCTGTTAGAATTAATTAAAGTTTTTTGAAATAAGTTAGTATTGATTAGGGAAAAGATAATTATTCAGTTCACTTTCAACTGTATGGCTTTTAAAATCAACAAACCATTTTGATGTTTTGAATATTATTTATGTAAAAAATTTTGGTGTCCTGTCGTCTGTCGACGGAGTAATAGAGTCTGTAGGGACCACAAGACAAAAGTTTGTAAAGTATAAAATAGACAAACAATTTAACACACAGAAATAGTCAAGCTTTCTGTTTAATTAAAATTCGTCCTTTTACGCGATGTAAATTGACGGCTACGGTAGACTTATTTACTTTGGTTCAACTGATTTCGGCACGAAATTAACGCTCATGCACTTCTAGGGCTGTCTTGCTCGGTTTAAGAGACGAAATTTCCGACAGCTTTCGACACAACGCTTCACACTATTGTTAGAAAGAGTCAAAAACAGGAAGAAGTATAGAAAACTTCCTGTTTCAAAATTCTTTCAAAATGCACATGCACGTCTATTGCGTGATCTTGCGACATCCTGTTGGCAAAAATTGTAAGGGCATAATTAGCATTAATCTAATGTTTTCCTCATTTTGGAGTGTTTTTGTGCTCTTTTTGCTCCGTCTAACTTCGCATGCAACGGCGGCACAATTTCATCAAAAATCTCCCTAGTGATCAAGACAATAAGTTACTCTTTCAAAATACTTACACTGGCAAAAATTTTCTCATCAGGCTTCTGAATTATATGCCTCACTTGCTTTAACTAAAGTCTTCTTTCTTCAATGCTATTTTTAACAAATATAATTGATAACGTACATTCAGTTGGACAAACAATTATTATTGATCCATGCATGCTCGATCCATGATATTAAAGCTTATTAATCATTATATAGCGAGAAAGCCTGCACGTTCTCTTAGCAAAAATTGAAACTCGTTTGTGTGGGTAAAAAATTTATTCTAGCCTTGGATAGAGATACTTCGTCTGATGAAAAGTTTTTCAAGGTGGACTTTAATCGTTTTTTGCGTGATAATACATTAAAATACCTTTAGTGACCGGACGATGAGAATTGACTATAATTATTATTGCGCTATATATAAGTCAATAGTTCGAAGTCAACTGGCATATTGAACACAGGTTTGGTCACCATAGTCGGTATCACTGATTCTTTAAGTTGAAAACGTCCAACGTCGAGCCACCAGATACATTTTATCCTTACCATTCTTGTCTAGATCATAGTATACAAGTTAACATACTGGCATGAATACCTGGACATGGTCTATCAGTAAAACTCTAGTTTTGTCTAATGACGATAACATCAAATTAAAGGCAAAAGATCGGATGACGAGGAAAAACAGTGCAGTTGCGCAAATAACATTGAAAGTTCCACAAACAAATACCTTAACCTGCAGGGCTCCCAGAACTTTTAACTGTCTACCATCATATCTACGCCAGCCAAATATTTCAATCTGCCAATTTAAATGCAGACTTCTTAATCGACTTCGAGGGTGATATATTCATTGTGTTGACTTCAATTTGTGTTCATAGCATGCATAAATGGGTTTTACCAGTCTTTAATTGACAAAATTAAATTATATTATAATTGATGTTGGTAATTTTTGGCGCGCTTGGAATGCGCATACTCAAGTTTATAATAAAGCTATTTATTTAAAGAGTATAATTGTTATTTACAATCTTGAATGCATAACATATATAATCGTGTGCTTTTCCGACAAGAAAGCACGGAGGGCTTCTTGCAAGAAAGGCTGACATCTTTCATTGCACTGCTCGCCGTAATCAAGCAGCATCCGTGATAAATCGAATGCATTTCTAAACAATTCACCGTTTCTCGCTGACTGATGTATATCTTTGACAGAGTTCTTGGCGAAGAGATCGTCGATGCTAATACATTCCTCGTTGTCCAAGATACATTCCTCTGTGCCAAAAGTCTAATGCCAAATTTGTAGTCCAAAGGCGGATTTCCATTCAGTGCAAATTGCCGTTAAATGAATTCTGAGCTGACTGAGCATATTGTGGACACTGCAAAAATGCCCAAAGCACATGCACCTATGCCACGATTATTTTCCTATAATCAATATATGGCATTTTTTGGGGGGGCGGTAGCTAACTTTTTTAAAATCGTGAGCGTAAGACCTCGTAACAGCGACTGTTTTTTTTGTTACGTTCATTCTTAGCACGGTCTGTTGATTCTTAAACATACGTTGCTTTTTACATCGATATAATCGATAAAGTGTTTGAGACTTTGAGTCCGTTTAACAAGAATCTAAGTACTTTGTTGGATATCGTGAGGAAGGCAAACTGAACATTGCATATTATTATAAGGAAAAGTGAGTCTTGTTGTTTTATAGCTATTCCTTATTATTTTGGTTTATACGTCGAGAATTATAATCAATAAGATAATGATAGAGTTTATAATTAGGTTTGCCTTATCTCTTGTCTTATTTGCATTCGACAAAACGAAAACGCAAGTATGACATAAAAAAAGGCCTGACGACATCAAGACCTCGTATAATACTAGTCTCTAACCTGGGGACGGTTAATGCCCATAAAAGTTTGGCGAAATTTCTGGTCTGGACAAGCCTATAAGATATATATTCCCAATCACACACAAGGAAACATGCATGGTAATCAGTAAACAATATATAATTATGATTTAATGGAGCATATTTTGCATAACTCATTCAAGCTGACTCAAATTTCTTACACGTACAGCTACGATCTTTGATTGTGAGAATAAATCCTTAGAAATAAATACATACAAATAAATTATCAACGGTGACTATATAAAATTTTATACATCTATTTTTTCAGTTGATGCATGTGTAAGGGCAAATTAAATGGTATAGATCATGTCAGTCAGCCGGATCAATTCGGAGCTGAAACGAAGCATTGTTCAGATATAATTGTTGTTGCTTTAATTCTTTGTCTTGATTTTATCCATACTGTTAAATGCAAAGCTATTGCATGTTTATCAATCATAAGAGTCCAGCGTTTGCCGATGATTGTTGACGGTTGAAGTTTACAGAGTATAAATTTCATTTCATTCAAGGAACCAGGTAGGAATATGTCACGACTCGAGGCATTATAAGAATTCGCTTAAAATTAGTGAAATTCACTCGTATACCGTTTTAATTGCAGGAATTACGAATCAGTGGCATATTAATTGCCAGCGATGTTTTACAGATTTTGGATTTACCTGTTTTGTGTCTGTTTTGCGGAGATGGTGTTGGTCAGAGGTGCTAGTCAGGATAAAGGAAAGGTAAAATGCTGTTGAAGGAGAAGATACCCTATCAAATTACAACGCAAAGAATCGTCCTAAATGATCTAGGTCTTTTGAATCACTTGGGTTAATCGTACTTGATACAGTGCCCGTTTTAACCTAGCTAAACAACGGAAAGGCATAGCATTTATTCAAATACGATTATGACATGAACATGATCACATAATATTTCTGTTCCCTGCAACAGCATTTTCATAGAGGAGTAAGCGAAAGCAAAAGTGCTACAACTCCGATCCAAAAGTCCATTTTGATACACTTGCTGATAACAGGAACCAATTGTGCCATTCATACGAGAGATAAAAATTAGTTGCGACTGTCTATAAATGAAAAACTTTCCTTTATTAAACACGTACTCCCTCCCGTATAGCCACATTTTTTTTGTATCTATATTATTGACCAATTAAAACTATTCTAATTACTGAACAATCCTTATTGGCAAGAAAAACAAAAAGTCTTCTATTTCATTGACCAATCAAATTTGACCTTCTTTTGACAAACAAGACGCCTGTTCTGGCGTTAACTCCGGCGTGCCGTACACGTGCTAGTCTTCAATATAAAGCTTCGGAACATAAGCAATACAGTTCATGCTCATTTAGATACCTTGCGAACCTAAACGTTGTTCGATCGCGAAATTCTGAAGCACATGGTACTTTAAAAAGTACAGAAGTTCAATTGTTTAAAAATGTAAATAAACCGCATGATACATTCACTTTGTCTTACACTTACTATATGGCAAAGACTACATTTTTCATATTTTGAAATCAGAACGATTTTAATGTATAAGATCGCCTTAATGTTATTTCAATATTATGATTCACAGACGAAATGTGGTTCTGCAGGTATACCAGGTATTCCTGGTGTTCCAGGGAGTCCCGGTCGAAATGCCGGGCCTGGGCCAGCTGGACCTCCTGGACCAAAAGGAGATCCCGGGAAGCCTGGAGAGAGTTCGTATGCGTCAAATTTAAACTGGAAACAATGTGTTTGGAAACTGAACGATGACAAAGACAATGGCTTGATACAGGTATTAATGAGACATAATTTAATCAATCATAATTTTAAAGAGGGGTTAGAGCGACTTCTGTGCATCGGTACTGCTGCTCATGACATGTCCATGTTTTAGAAATCGCCCAAATCTCGCATGTTTTCAATTTTTTTCAAAATAACTCAATCTCTTAATCCCATTAAGAAATATAGCGAACAGAAATTCGCCTTCAGATCTATATAGGGGCCTGCATAGTGGTGTCTAGTTCATATTCTTCATTAGCATATTCTAACCTGCTGAATTATTGACGTTTGCATGTATATTCGTAAATATTATGGTAACGAATCCCTGATCCTGTAACGCCTCTGAGATAGGCAGTCGTACTTAACACATCTATTTGATATCATTCTTTTATCGTTCATAATTTAGAACTGTATCTTCAACAAGAAATACGACAACACCTCACTCCGTGTATTTTACGAAGGAACACTCCGTTCAATAGGCAATGGCGCCTGCAATCGATGGTATTTTACATTTGATGGCGCACAGTGTATAAAACCAGCAACTATTGAAGGAATTGTTTTTGTTACATCAACTCAAGTCAACCCTCATCGTCACCGCCATATCGAAGGCTTCTGTGACAACGTTCCTAAAGGTCATGTACGTGTAGGATTCTGGATAGGCAAGTGTGTGGGTATTACCCTCGGGAATGGTTATGCTGGTTGGAAATCTGTATCTCGCATTGTGATCGAAGAAGTGCCACCTCCTCAAAACTGAGTTTACCAAACTAAGCCAATTAATAGTGTCTCTTTACTTTCACTAGTTTTATTGCAGTAGTTAAAATGAAATATTTTGTAAACGTACAACCACCGATCAAAATGCACAATTTAATATACCTATAGCTTGTAGCATAATTGATAATAAAAAAGACTGTTTTCAATATTTGATCTCAACATTCTTTTGAATTTTTAATACTAATAGTCATCTTACGCTTCGTTGAATCTCGGGTAACAGGGCTCATGTAATCAGCCCCTTGGACAATAAATTGATACCATATTTAGTGAATGTGGTGGCCCTCATCAGCAAGTGAGAGAGTTGTTAGCCAAGCTGAGGATCCTTTCAACTGGGCGAGGTCATTTTCTGGAATCTGCTCCCCACCCATGCTCGATCCCAAGTTCTCTAGCAGTTTCGATTAATTCACTCCATATTCATTCACATTAACTCGCCAGTTCCGAGTTCAAGTTCTGATTAGAAAGGCAGTTCCGCATTCACAGAGCTTTGAAATTTTGCTTGGTTTACCTTCAAACTATACCTTACAATGTTATTGGATCCATTGCTAAAGCCCGTTTTCCACTAGGCTATCTTTAAAACCAAGAACGGGGAATAAAGGAACGCGGAATCAAGGAACGGAAAACGGGGAATGAGAATCTCAGGAATCCTTAAAACCCGAAATGAGAATCTCCGGCATCTTTAAAACCCGGAATGAGAATCCCCGGAATGTTGAAAACCCGGAACGAGAAACATGTAAACAGAAAGAGTGATATTTTACTGATAAAATAACATCCGATATCAACTTTCATGCATAAAAAACATTCAATTTATGATGTGGTTGTGTTGGTTTTACACCGGCCTTAAAATACAGGACAATTAATAGCCTTAATAAGTGGCAGAAGGCATTCAATACGATCGAATTATGAAATTAATACATGTCCACATCCGTGAAAAACGTTACAAAGGTGCACCATATTTTCTGTGATTAAAGCTGTTAAAAAGTAAGTTTTACTATTAATATTGAGAGTAGTTTGGGGAAGCTAGCACTCAGTTCTAGCTCTTATAAACTGATAAACACTGCATGAAACCTTTTCCTCCTCCCCTGCCCTATCATTTCAATGCCTAATGGTAGTAGCAGGTTTGATGAGTACTCCCAGTGTAAAATTTATAAACAGATTTGGTACACTTTAACCACTAGAGCCAGTCGGATGCACATAGACAGCCCAATCTGAATTTTCACACCACATTTAGACCAGAAAGTGGAAGTAGATTCGAGGAGCTTTTGAACAAATGAAATTACTACCACCTTATTATAACCTTTATATATAACCTTTATAACCTTTCTAATTATAACCTTTCCTTAATAAGAAGAAAGAAATCAAAGGCCTAGCTACCTAAACAATGTTAATTTAGCTTAATTTTGTTTATCCAGCACATACCATGGCCTTTATTAAATTGATTAAAAAAGCAGCACTTGGTTTGTCAATAGCTATTTGTTTTCCGAACAGGTTGACAAGTCTTCACTTTGTTGTATATATATGACATTTCAAATCAATTGTCATTTAGCTTAAGGTTGTTGAACAATCACATTAATTTGCATGGGTGTATAAAGGGATTCAAATTTGTGTGAGGAATTCAGCTTCCTCAATTATATGCATGTCTGACTTTCATTTTACTACTAAAATATACTTTTTAGGCATCACAAAGAAATGCTAAAATGATTTATTTTGCTTCCAGTACAATATCATGTGCAGAATTTCATTGGTCCCTAGCTATGTACTGCTGACTGGAAATTTTCTATGACATGCTCATCAAGTGCAGTTCATACTTGTTGCACCTAAACACAATGGAGTAGATATACTGAAAACCAGGGGTATATAATATACATATACACATCCCCTGGTTTTCAGTATCTACAGCTCCATTGTGTTAAGGTGCAACAAGTATGCATTAATTGCACTTGATAAGCAACAGAGCAAGCTATAGAAAATATCCAGTCAGCATGCATGCAGTGGCAGGGACCAATGAATAGGAAAGGTTATGAACTTAAGGTAATATAATTTCAGTTGTTCAAAAGCTAAATTATCTTCCCCTTCTGCATGGTCTAAGTGTGGTGTGATTAAAATCAGATGGGACTGTCTATGTGCAGTGCATCCGACTGGCTCTAGTAGAAAAAATGTATCAATTAAATCTGGTTATACTGGTAGCACCCTACTCAGGCTACTCTCAATAGTAATATTACTTATATTAGGTTTGATAAAACTTAATTACTTTTTAACAACTTTAATCACAGTTAGAAGATGTGATGTGCCTGAATGTACACAAAAGAGCAAAAAAGATAGTTCACTTTGAAACGTTTTTCACGGACATGGACATCACATATTCACATTCGATCCTTTCATAGTGATTATGACTTCTGGCACTTAATTATCCTGTATTCCAATGTCCATGTCCTAGGTAGTTGGTTAGACAGCGAGGACAAGGACGACGACGATCGTGGCGAAGAAAAGGAATTTGTTAGAGAATATAGGGCTTCGGTGATGGTCCAATATTTCGCCTGGGTAAACAGCATTCCGATAACGCTTGATTTTCACGATATTTTAGACTTGACATTGATTTAACAAATTGCGTGCGTAGTAGCATGACTATTCAAATATAATTATTTCACGTTTTAGACCGAATCTGCAAAATTCCAACGACAGAATTCAAGAGACAGGCTCATTTTATCATAAATTGACTGTTTTTATGGGAAAAAAAGTTGATATCGAATGACACAACTTGTTTAGAACAGGATTTATTTCATTGCTCCTTCTGTTTACATGTTTCTCCTTCCGGATTTTAAAGATTCTAGAGATTCTCATTCCGGGTTTTAAAGATTCCGGGGATTCACATTCCGGGTTTTAAAGATTCCGGAGATTCTCATTCCGGGTTTTAAAGATTCCAGAGATTCTCATTCCGGGATTTAAAGACTCCGGAGATTCTCATTCCGGGTTTTAAAGATTCCGGAGATTCTCATTCCGGGTTTTAAAGATTCCGTAGATTCTCATTCCGGGTTTTAAAGATTCCGGAGATTCTCATTCCCGGTTTTAAAGTTTCCAGAGATTCTCATTCCCGGTTTTAAAGATTCCGGAGATTCTCATTCCGGGTTTTAAAGATTCCGAAGATTGCCAGATTCTCATTCCGAGTTTTAAAGATTCCGGAGGTTCCCTTTCCGGGTTTTAAAGATTCCGAAGATTCTCATTCCCGGTTCCCCGTTCCTCGTTCCCCGTTCCTGGTTTTAAAGATAGCCAATTTTTCGCGCGAACAAATAAAAAGTACGGGAAGCGTGTCACGCACTGAGGAGGGTCACAGTCACTGGTCACATTACTGAAAAATACTAGAATTTACTATCGCAAGTGTAGTGCTGGCTCGGCTTTTTTGTTTGAATTGGCATGGAGCTCAAGCTTTTTCCCTGGAGCTTGCCACGTTCACAGTCACACTGGTCACACTACTGACATATATAAAGATCAGTAAGAGTGTTGTGACATCATCGTTTTACAATCGTAAAATATCGTAGTTTGCATAAATTGTCAACGTGGCAGGTGGCTGAGCGATTGAGCGTTCGAACTTCGAAAGTCGAACTTCGAACTTCGAAAGATTTTTATAATGTCTGTTCCACACGAGTGGCAAAACTGCCCAGAAAAAAGCAATCTGATTGCAGGTAGCCGTGGTTTTTAATTACTTTTGCATGAAATTTGCCGTAATGCGGCGTTTTTACTGTCCAGTGTCTGAGAGTCACTAAGGGGCTGTTTACATGAGCCCGGTTACCCGAGATTCAACGAAGCGTGAGATGATCTTGAGGTATCCTGGCAGTCGTATAATCACTGCAACAATGGCATGTACTTGTTTGGTGTCATAAAGACTTATTTTAATACCTCAAGATCATCAGTGCGTTAGTTCGTAGAATAGCGCAAGCTTACATATTACGTTTATTAATATTTTCATGAGTTAAGTGTTATATATATTTGAGTTTAACTTTAGAATTCTAGGATTTCTAGTACTTTTTATACCGGGACTATATTATTACATCGCTAGATCAGGGTACATCCTGACATCCAATGTAAACGACTTTAATCTCTTTGCCAACTCAACATCTCACACATCCAAATCCATGGCATTGAATTATTTCCATTTTGTGAATTTATTCATTAAGAATTAAAAAACGAGTCGCGTGCGTTTATGGTGTAATAATGGACGATGGGGAAATGTTGGGAGAATACGAGAGAAGCTTGTAAAACACGAGGCGTAGCCGAGTGTTTTACAAGCTTCTCTCGTATTCTCCCAACATTTCCCCGAGTGCATTATTACACCATAAAGGCACGCGACGAGCTTTTTTAATTCTTTTATAATATAAGAAGAAATAATAGGGCAACAACAAAATTTATTTATTTGATCAATAATGAAATTCTCCTTACATGTTATTTAAGATGTTGCTTAGCAACAAAAACTTCAAAAGCCAGAAGCGTGCATTATGGCCTCACAATGCACGAGTCCGACTTTTTTAAAATTCCAATAACTCTGCGAATGCGCGAGCAAAAAACACATAAATACCACCAAAATATAGCTCGAGAAAAATACTATAACCCAATCGCTTCTGTTTTAATCCGGAAATTAATAAATATTTCTGTTAACCTGACACCGCAGTGCAGCTGTCAAAATCATATCAAATTACAAGGTGATGACAACCGGAAATATAACTCGCCTTTGGAATTTCGTTATTTTCTTCGTTATTTTTTATCCTTTCGTATTTAACCGTTATATATAAACTAGAAATGCTTTAGTTATCTTTTCTGATAGTTTTTAAGTCAATATGGGCAGAAAAACTCGAAAAATATCGATTTTTCTGATTTGTTATTGTTTGTAGCGAGACGCGTTGCTCAGCGCACGCACATGCGGTTGTCGCGTGAGGTTAGAGGTGTCAAAAACGTAACGTTGCCTACCCCCTAGGGGTAAAATAAGCCCGGAAATCGATTCCTGGGGCCGGTTGTTCAAAAGCCGGTTAGCTTAACTCAGGGTTAACTCCAATTTGCACGTCTATCTTTTTTAATTACTCGTTTATGAAGTTGAACATGTTTTTTCACAAATATTTTGAGGACTAATACAAGTCTTATTTTGTAAAGCCTTGAAACAAACAGCGGTACAGCGGTGTAGAAGCGTGTAAACCAAAACAGCGAAGTAAAATTTAACCCAGGGTTAGCGCTAACCTGGCTTTGAACAACCGGCCCCTGGGGTAAAATCAGTGGTAAAAATGTCCCTAGAAGTCATATATTCGGCCTTTTTGGAGCGAAAATTTTCCGAATTTTTGTCAAATTTTCGCCAATATGGTGATAATTATATGCAAATTTTCGGGTTTTCCGTTTGTAAACACGTTTGTTGGAAATATCACTACAAATCGCCAAAACGACTGTATTTCAAGCAAAATAGATGGAAATATTGATCACAATGTAAGCTACAAACATTTGGAGGTTTTTAGGCGAGATTTCTGGAAGGCTTTGCGTATCTTCGCCTCCCTAAAATTCAATTTCAAAAGTACAAGATCGGCAATTTATATCTTGGCTTATAGGAAAGCTCTTGAAATGAACTAAACTTATACAAATAGATAAATGTTTTAGCTTTAAGATAATACAATTTCTAGTTGATTTGATAAAATACTTGCAGATAAAATCGAGATTATCTGCGTGCGTCGTTTACGACCGGACGGCAATGAGTTAATACCGGTATAGCTCAGTGGAAAGTGGTTGCTCAGTGGTAATAAAAGCCGTGTTTACACTACAAGCCGGAGCCTGGCCTAGGCCTGGCTTTGGCCTAGATCTTTTTAGAACGAAGCGTTTACATTTACGCTTCGACAGCGTGACTTTGGCCTAGAATTTCAGCGGTTTGCATCTCACAAGTTTACCATAAATCACATTGTTACGAATACTGTAGTTGTCCAATTCGTTCTGGACATTTTCTTCACCCCAAAGGTTTAGCAAAGCTTCAGTTTCCTCATCTGTCCAATTCAAATTGGGCTTGGGCCTGGCCTAGGCCACCTGTTATGATGGGCCTAGATTTCCTGGCCTAGGCCAGGCTTAGGCCAGGCCAAAGTGTGTTTACACTAGGAAGATCTAGGCCAAAGCCAGGCCTAGGCCAGGCTCAGGCTTGTAGTGTAACTTTGATTGAATAACTTTGTATTGAAACTTTGATCCTTATATACTCTCAACATGAGGACATTTGCCCATGATTGGCAATTTAAATGTCCATTTTGGATTCATTTCTTGTAAGTTATTGTAAGTTATTGTTAGTTATTGTGACTGTTATTGAAACTTTGATCCTTATATACTCTCAACATGAGGACATCTGCCCATGATTGGCAATTTAAATGTCCATTTTGGATTCATTTCTTGTAAGTTATTGTTAGTTAGATTGGCAATTGTGATTTTAGTAATGTGTTGTATGTTTAGATCGATTTCTTGCATTTAAAACATTCTTGGATAGTCGTTATGATGCTAAAGTGCCTGAAGAAAACCGATGGCAGCTATCAATGTTGCAGGATTATCTTGCTAGATATGAGGTAAAGATTTTAAATTTATTTCCAAGTGATTTTTCTTCGCATATTTGCAATACCCCTGCCTTTCCTAATAAACATGCCTCATAGCGGCATAGTTCCCTTCAAATATGTAATGTAACACTAAAACATCAGAATTGATCAATGCAAGTTAAAAAAGGAGATTGCTTAATCATATTGTTAGCCATCCACAGCTATATATTCCTAGCTGAGGGTTAGCAAGAATTTGGACAGCATTTCCAACCTGTTGTTGTCTCATCTGAGGTCTCGTCCCAAAATGTCTCATCAAATGTTAATTGTTAAGCAACTGCCTATGATTTACAATTATTTCTTGAAGTTCATTTGTTATAAGCCCTAATGCAAAACCCTTAGGTTGAAATAGAAGAAGTTTAAATATAGCATGTTTTATTGTATATTCTGTATACAATTAAGGTTTAGCATATGCCAATGGCTTCATTAGATATACTGCTAAAATAACTCATTAACTGACTGTAGTTTTAACCAGTAATTAATTATTCCTTTCATGGAAAAATAAATTTCCAATGTGCTTGATTTAAAGATATAACTTTAAATTCACAACCACACTGACCTTTTAGTTCTACCTGGTATGATATATTTACTTTAATCAACAGCAGAAAACCCTTGGCTTGGTAATTGATCTGACAAATACCTCCAGATACTACAACTGGAATGTTTTGAATGATGCTGGGATAGAATACATCAAAATTAACTGCAAAGGGTAAGTAAATGAGTAATTAATTTACATGATTTTCTAAAAAATACAGCAGAGGTGCAGTTGTTTGCATATAACAGCAAGGTCACAACAACACCGCAAAAATTGGTGTTTATGAAGTTTCAACCCGAAAATCTAATCCCTTGTTCACAATTGTGCATTTCTGTATCACTATCAAAGAAAAAAAAACTTTAAAAAGTTTAATTTTTCTTCTAAATGCACATTCTGCCATCTTTTGACAGCTCATCATACACATCTAACAGCAAAATTTTGAAATACGTTTCCCTGCGAAACAACGTTAGTTTTAGGGCGATTGAAAAAGCCACTATCTGGTTGATAGCGATATTTAGCTTTCCCCAGTTTGTTGATAAGTAGCTTGACATACCCCCCTCCCCCCATTCTGACGGGCCTGGTATACCATATTCTGGTATATTCAACCATATACTAAGGTCAAATATGCCACATTCCATGGAACATATCCGACTTTTCCAAGATCGAATGTACCATACTCAGGTATATTCGGCCATACCAAGGTCTCGACATTCTGGTACATTCGACCTTCACTTTTTATCCTGTTTTTCTCATTACCTTTTCCATAAACTAGTTTTACATTTTGCATTATATTTCCCTTTCTGCAAAAACACTCTCTTTTTTCATTTCAGTCATGACGAATCACCTAGTGCGGAACAGATCGATAACTTTATCACAAATTGTTCAGAATTTTGGAATGACGAACCTGAGAAGATCATAGGTAAATAACTACGACTAAATGTGGATATAAAATAGGTTTGCGTATTTTCCAAGAAATGAGCGTGCAGAAAAATATTACTGTTTGTTGATTTTTTTATGGCGACTGGATGAAATGTTTTATCAATTTATTCATTCATTTAAGGTGTTCACTGCACCCATGGTTTCAACAGGACTGGATTTTTAATTATCTCTTATCTCGTCCAAGTTTTGGGATGGAGGTACAGTACTGTCCAGAAATAACCTAACAAAAACCGCGGTCAGATCGAGGTCGAACCGGGGTGTATGTGAGACCGAGTTTGAACCTGGGTCGAACCGAGTTAGGACTACAGTTTAACCACAGTTCTTTTTTCTACTGTGTAAAATTATCATTAAAGCTTTACGGTTATTCAAAATCTACCATAATGAAGATTTGTTTTATTAAACTTCTCTATTTTTTTATTCTAGATTGGAAGATGCTAATCAAGTTTTTTTGCAGGTAATATTTAATAAAAATGTTTCAGGAAAATACAGTCCTTCAAAGTTGATAGTTTTTTTATACAGGGTGTCTCGAAGAGAAGAAAAATCGCCACTTTATCATGCAGTAATGCATTAAATATTGAATCCAACGATTCCTTGTTTACATTACAAGAAAGAAGAGTTATGCATCTTCCTAACAATATTATATTTTTTATGCTTTAAATGCCAGAAATAACCAAATAAATTGTGTATTAACAAATTGCCGGTCGAAAACCACATTCATTTCAACTGAGTTTGCTTCGTTTTGCCTTCAATCGAGCAAGTTTGATTTTCGATCACTAATTTTCATTTTTAATTGGAAATATTTGGTCATTTCCTGCTGTTATCAGCAAGTATAACTGCTCTTGCATACTGCATAAGGATTAAATAATTAAATTTAATATTCATACACCCTGTATATTTGTATGGCAACTATGACTACGTTCCTGGCCAGAATCCATAGATAGTTCCTTTTTCATTTAAGAATCGACCTCCAGGAATATATAAGCAACCTTATCTTGACGACCTCTGCAAACGCTATGACGAGAGCAAAAGCCTGCAGGCGCCCGAACTGCCTGAGTGGTGCCTGGAAGAAGAGGAGGGAAGCGAGTTTGCCAGGTTAGCATAATTTTTTTATTACTCCGGCGTGAGCGACGGAGTTGAAAATTCCCCTTGGTTTTGTTTTGTTTTTGTTTTTTATTTTTCGTCGTCGCAAGTTTGTTTTGGCGCGAAATCTACTAGTTTTTAAAGTACGATGTGCTTCTGAATTTCGCGATCAAACAACATTTAGGTTCGCAAGGCATCTAAATGAATATGAACTGTATTGTTTATGTTCCGAAGCTTTATATTGAGGTCTGGCACGTGCGCCGCACGCCGGAGTTAACGCCAGAACAGGCGTCTTGTTCGAAGTAAAATAATGCGTTAATTAGTTTGTTGATTGGTCAGTTACTTAATTGGGTAGTTGATAAATTAGTTCATTGTTAGTACGTTTTTTAGATTGTTAGTAAGTTAGTTAGTTTATAGTCAGTTAGTTTGCTACTAATTTGTTTGCAGGTTAGTGGGTTACTTAGTTTGTCGGTCATTTTGGAAGAAAACGATGACGTGTGAACTACAATCCCGGACATAGTTAATGTGGACAGGAAAAATTATTATTTCAGTTAAATCCTGAAAATCTGGCATCAGGGCCGTAGCTAGACAGCTTAATTGGGGGGGGGGGTGTATATTCATATATTCATGTTTATATACCGTAGGAACAATAGCGTACAAAAGAAATCAGTCGGGCATAAGACGAATATATGAATATACACCCCCCCCCCCAATTAAGCTTCTAGCTACGGCCCTGTCTGGCATATGTACATATGCAGATCCCCACTTCCCCGTCTTAATGATGTTTCATAGTATACTCGTCTCTCAATTGTGCCAAAAGTCAGCAACATCAACATTTTTGGGGAGAGGGGGCGAGATATCAATGGGGTATGATTTATGACCATAAAGCCATTGTGAGGTCACCTGTCCAAATAGTTTTTTCCCTGATTGTAACAAACTTTGAAATTTTTGTTGTCTCTCTAGCCTTTCTAATGCTGTATCTCTACATGTTTCGTCAAAGGAAGAAGGTCCTTGGGTCAAACAGACAGACCTCGACAAAAGTTGACTAATATTGCATATACATTACATTCCTTTGTTTTGAGTTTGATATCTCTTATTGAAATTAGTTCTTATAAGTAAAAACGGTTTTAAAAACCTCGAAGCGATTTAAAATAAATTATACATTATCAGACATTATTATACATGATTTTAATGCTTTCCGTCATGTTGCCATGGGAACAGTGACGTGTGAACCCTGTGTGAGGCGAAATTTTGTGTCGCGTTCGAGGCGCAGGCGAACGTTTTGTTTGTAATAAATGGCGCGATTGCGCCCCTGAAGTCAATAACTAAAGCCCCGTTTAACTCAAACCCGAGCCGAGCCCTGGATTTGTTTACAATAGTGTTAACCTATCTATAAATCTATAATTATGACCATACAACTTCCACTCGGAAATGTCCGCTCGAATTTCACCGAACGAGAACTTAATTACCTTTAATTAAGTTCTGTTTTCGAACCATGGATTATGAAATAATAAATCTCAATAACTTCTCATTCATTATCTATTGTTCGAATTGCATTCGAAGCGACCAAAATCCCCCGAGCAAGCACCATGCAGTAGACAGTACAGATTAGTGAGATCATTCAAGCAAGACATTCAAAATGGTTGCAGGCGAGGGGATTGCAAAGTCGTTGCCGTTACCAGTTTGTATTCACCTTAAAGGAATTTGTGGACGTTTAAAGCAACCGTTCGACAAGGGATGGATGGATATTGGTAACCCATTGAGATAAGAGACAATTCCCTAGAGCCTAATTCGAGGTGACACTCGCTGCGCCTCAGTGTGTGTTTAGGGCCTGTTTATATGATCTCGCCTAGACGGGACAGTTTCCGAGATCCCGCTTGTAATACAAATAAACACACATTCGTCAATTGGCTGATCAAATTGAAGAGAGAAATTGTAATTTACGTCTAAGCGCGGGATCCCGGGTGGACGGGATCATATAAACAGACCCTGACTTTGATAATGTTGTGCTAATCTTCATAATTACTGAAGAATAGCACATTTTAACATGCCTGGAGCACATAGCTCTCAGAGTTAATTAAAAGTGAACAAACGTATATAAGTGTGGGGTACAAATAAGGTTGTAGCCTGTGAATTACAGTGTTATAGCACTGTGACTACAATTCCACTGGAAAGCAAAGTCAAAATAGGTCATAACAGGTGGCATTTGGTATACATGCGTGTTAAAGCGCGATGAAAGTAATTGCATGCACCACGCCCATCGAAAGCGGGGGGACTGGCAGGCTGCAGCCCTCTGCCCAATAATTTGCTAAAAAATTTTTCTTGGAAAAGAGACTCTTAAAGATTTCAACGCGATTTTCGCGTATATATTTCTATTTTGGGGAGCATACGTCTATTTTAAGCTATCCGCAAAATTACTGATACGCTGCTGCTAATAAAAAATACCTCAAAGTGCATGGCGTATATGCGCCTAAGAGGTTGATTTCCAAAGCGAAACGTATAGCAAAGCGGTAACTGTTGTGCCACTTCATCCCCCCCCACCCCCCAACCTTTGAAACGTGTCACTTAATTTGCATTTTGAGCCCCCTCCTCCCAATCGTAATTTGCTTCTGACAGCATTGGAAAATTTAAATTCTAAAACATAATTTGGAAATTCATAACCTATAGCATCGTTAATCCAGGAATTAAATTTAGAATTTCCTGAAGTAATGCCATTTTGACTATATATTATAACGCTGGATCTGCTAATGGTCAGTACAGCATAGCAATAACGAGCAATTTCATTGGCTAACGAGCGTGCATTGTGAGGCCATAATGCACGCTTATAGTTTTTAAAATTCAGCATTAGCTATTAGCCATAAAGGCACGCGACTCGTTTTTTATTGAAATATTTAAACAAGGCCATAGATTTTAAGCGTAACAATTATATTACTACAATATAATTGGATATCACATGACAGATATATTTGTCATAAATGAATGTGAATTCCTGATCAATTGAACGTTTCGATGCTGCTATCAATCAGTTTGTATACGACTTCAACTTTTTCTTGTTCTACGCGTGCAGTAAGAGCCTCCATTTTAGCCATGACATGGACGACTTCTATATTTGAAGGTGCCGGTATTTTCGCCAACGGTGTATACTTAACCAGATTTCCTGTTATTTGCTCGAGAATTTTCCGTTCAGACTCAGTATTTTCACATAACAAAGAAATATCTTGAGAACAGTATGTTGCTTCAACATCTTCAAAATTAACTTTCCGAATTGTGCCAAACGCTTCTTCAAACAAATCGTTATTTTTTGATGCGCGATGACGTATATTTCTAATAGAATTGTTGCCCAGGGGATCATCGATACTTATATACTCCTCGTTGTCCCCGACTACTCCTAAATGCTCCTTCAGTAGATCACATCTCAAGCTATGTGCAAATTTCCCCATCTTGAAATCTACACCATTCATTTTACCATCCAGATATTCCAAATCCTCTATCAAGACAGCGACTTCAGAATCTCTTCCTCCCAGCATGCTGCGATCATTGATATTGGCGGATCCAATGATTGCTAAACGATCATCGACTATCATGATTTTACTATGAACATACACAATCTCAGTAACGAAACGCGTTCCTATCAGATCGTATGTACGCAGGCTGAATAGAGAGAAGTACTTCATTGCAGATTCTTGTGAAATATTTTCTTTCTCGAGTTTACTAAATAGCGAATCTTCTCCTTCGAAAAGAGTGCTTTCAATCCAAAAAGTCACAGTTCGTAAAGCTTTTCCATTCGCATCTTCGTCGTCCAAATCTCCAGGGAATTCGGGTTTAATGGGAATAATAATCATGACATGAAAATCTTCATTGGCTTTGTGGGCGCGGACAATCCTTTCAACAAGCGCTGACTGGATCTGGTTTTTAACTTTTAGTAAGATACCATCTTGGGATGAAATGAAGAACTGGTTTTCAATATAGATGAAGTGTTGAGCATTCTTTATCGCATCCAAATAAGCGCAATATATGGAGTCCTCGTGTTTCACACCAGCCGACCAGTTGTCCACAGATCTTAGCATTTGAATACTTACGTTATGGCCGCCGGATTTGAACACGATTTCTTCCGCTTTGGTTTTTTTGCCTGCAAAACGTTCTCTTGCACGGTAAGCAGTGCTTTGAAAGTAGCGGTGAAACACGTCCAGATATCTCGCCCACCAAGTTTTGGTAATAACATTGTATCTGTCTCTGAAATGAGACACACAATCATAAACAGCTTCTCCAGTGAACGCACAGCTTACATCATGCCAAGGCATGCGAGGAATTTCCTTTCTATCAACACCATCGTAACCCTTCAATGGTTCGTCCCAATCCGTTTCATTCTTCTTGTTATAAAACGTGTTTCTGTAATCTTTGCCAATCCACCGAGCATGGTTTCTATGACTACGAGGATTCTCTTGGTCATCTGAAACTTCGCTTCCGTTCACAGCTGAATGTATGGGGTATTCATCCATCAATTCGTGTTTACGAGTGTCCCAGCGACCATAGCATAGATCAATACCGCCAACAAAAGCAACACTACCATCAACAATGACTATCTTCTCATGGTGACTCCAGCGAAACAAATTCAGTGCTCCAGTGATGAAATCAGGATGACGGTGAACTTCGATGTTATCATGATTATCAAGTAGTTTCACGACGTGACTGCTTCCAAGATCTATAGCTTGTTGCAACTCCTTGTATAATAATATTTTCACTCGAACGCCCTCGTCAGCCTTTCTCAACAACATCTTGTCCAGTCGCCAATACAAGCTATCAACTCCGGAATCAGGTCTTTTCATAAAGATTTCAGGATTCATTTGCCAGTCGGGTATCAGAATTTCTGCTTCGGCAGTCTCGATAGCATCAGCCACAGCGGACATGTAATCCTTGCCGTCAACATACCATAGAGCTTTGCTGTTCTCACGAACTGGAGCAAATGATCCATGGCGATTGAGCTGGTAGTTCTTTCGTGATAGGATTTTGTAACCTATTACGATTGCTGCCACTGAAATACATATCAAGTCCAACATTTTTAGAAAAGTTCCTTATTGCTCACGGCAATGCTTCGCTGTAATTATGAAAAGCTTGTGCAAGTCAGATGGCTATATGTAAGGGCAATTTGCAAGTAAAATTTCTTTACCTCAACGAAATCTCAAAGATTTCTTGTCTTAAGGAGCTAAACTTCCTCTTCAAGTTACAAAAGTGATCTTCTATAAAACGAGACAAAAAAATGTTTCAGAAATTCAAAAAGTGTTCTGAAATCTCATCACAAAAATTGTCGTTTTAAACAAATACCTCACGAATGGTTTTGGTTTATGAGGAACGACTTGCGTGTATCATACTTGGCAAGGATGGAGGTCATTAAGAAGTTAAAAATATGGACGACATCAAAGAGTTCTTTCTTAACTGGATCAACAAAACTTCCTTCTGTTAACAGTCCAAAGCTATACAGCATTAATTATATTAGCTGAGAGCCCGTGTCGTTTGTTCGCGTCGAACTTTCAGTAACTTTAGATTGATTTACGTGCTTTAAAGTTGTTATTTTAATATCCAAAGCAACTTGAGTTATAACTTTGACATATACAAGAACTTCATTTATTGAAAATCATCAAAAAGCTCTGCGACAACTATTGCCGCCAAATTTGCTCGTTTCAAATCAACTGAATTGTCGTCTTAAACTACACTAAAGTATCAAATAAGACTACACTATGCAGTGTGTCCCAAAAAATTCCCAATATATATGAAGGTATAAACATTTCAATTCGTTAGTATGCTGATTAATTTTGCTATTATCCTAAAGTATAAGTCATTCCTTGTATACTTTCTTTTAATATTTTAGCTATTTTTCGTAGTACACCAACTTCTAGTAAATATCAGCATGGACGTGAATCACTATAGCTAATATTCGCTGTGCATGAAGAAGCTTATGAACAAAATATGGTATATTGTTTTTGGCCAGCGATTTGCGCATAAAAAATTGCTTTTCGGGCAACCCGATCCTGATCATGAGAAGGAATAATTTCCTCGGTCTCCCAGCATGCAGCGATCATTGCGTCCTTAGCTGTTCTCACGAACATGAGCTAATGATCCATGGCGATTGAGCTCTGGGTTCTTTCATGATAGGATTTTCTAACTTATTACGATTTCTGCCACTGAAACACATATCAACTCCAACCTTTTTGAAAAAGGTTCCTTATTGCTCACGACAATTTGCGAGTTAAATTTCTATACCTCAACAAAATCTCAAAGATTTATTATATTTATATATTATCGTCGTATTACCGACTCGTGTGATTTCTTTTGATATAGCAATTGAACATGAATATATGAATTTACACCCCTTAATCAAGCTTCTAGCGACGGCCCGATCTGGGTACGTCTGTGCCGTTTTTCGATGTATATAATTATGTAAACATTATTACAGACTGACTTAATTAATATTAACTTTGGCCATTAGGGCCCAGCACGGACACGGTCGTCACCTCGCAACGCTTTGAACGTTGAAGAAAGGGTTTGGTTTTTTTGTTAGAAAAGAGGAGCATCGATTATACTTTATACTAATACATATGAGCCTTTAATCGATTCATCTGTTCATCCGCTTCTATCTATAGACGTTGTATGATACTATAGTTAAATGCGGTTGTATTCGTGTACGTTTTTTCAAAGTGTTCAAAATTTGTATTTTAGTTTTCATCGTATTTTATGCGATAAATAAACATAACTCATAAGAAGAGAGCGTATATGGTATGGTTGACACTAGCGAACTCCACTTTGTAGAAAGTCTCTACGATGTGGGAACGCGACAACGTCACTGATGTAATTATTGCATGTAAATATTGCCCGGTTGCTAGGTAGCGGAAACAAAGAGGCTATCACTGCATGGACAACGTCGATATCCACATCATCATAAAACTTTATTTGAAGAGAACACGTCAACATCAACAACATACAAGCTTATGGGCGTATATACAGCGATCTCTAAGATTATATGAATAATCCAAACCATATTAAATCTGAATTTGCATCGTAAATTAGGGGCAGTGTGGTCATTAAAAATTTGATACGCGGAGCCATGCTGTGCTAACAATTAGTTTTTACGGTTGGTATCAGGAAAGCATTGTTTGAAAAAAAATAGCGTGAGAGCTGATTTTAGAAAAGCACTTTTAGACAATAACATGGCTAGAAACAATTTAGAAATCAAGTTTTCTCTCGCCGATTTTGAGTCAAAGGCGAAGAAGAAAATTTTCCTAGATGAAACCAAGATTGATATATGCGCTCTCTTGAACACAAACGGCGGAAGACTTGTTTTGAAAGCCATTGATGCCACAGCTGACAACAAGCTCCATTGTGATAACATCATTCAATCGATTGAGCTGCCATTGTTAGAGTTTGTTGGCCTCTCGAAAACAGACAAAAACTTTAAGTGGGAACGAGACTACAATACGATTACATTGGAAATATCTGGTCTACCAATATTGTGTACTTTAAACTCAAATTTGTTCTTGCCAATACAATCCTCGATAATGATGCTTCGTGAGACAAATCGAATACGGGAAATATTGTTTGAACATCGTGTCGTCGAACTGCCGCAACCGACGCTGCGTGAACAGTTCTACCTAGGATATGACAGTGGTTTAGAAGAATCAAATAGTGTTCAGTTAAAGAATCTCAACCCAGAGAAAACGAAAAGCATAAACTTGGCAGGTCGCATTATTAAGCATAAGTTAACAAGTTACGTATCTGGATTCGCTAACCTCTCAGGTGGACAAATTTTTTACGGAATTAACGACCACGGTATTGTTGTTGGAGAGTCGTTGCGTGGCGAGGACGAAATTGAGCAGATAACAACAAAAGTCGGGAATGCCATTCGCAAAATGAAATGGCCACCAGAATTACTGGTCAGATTGGATAAAGACTGCTGCCGGGAACAGTGGGATATAGAGTTTGTTCCTGTGAAGACATGTGAGGGTGAAACACTCCCGTTAACGTTTGTGATCGTCATATCAGTGTCACCATGCCCTGGTGGTGTTTTTGTTGAGGAGCCAGAAAGCTACCATGTTGTCGATGGAAGAGCCGAAAAGATTCCCTTTGACGCGTGGAAAGAAAAGATAAGAACTTCGAACAGTGAGTTTGAATCGAAGGAAGAATTAGCAGTAGAAATTAAAAGGACAAAATGGAGCTCGGTCAAAAGTGAAAGCACATACATGAAAATGACTCAGGGACTAGTAAGACTGAGACATCTTGGAGAATGGGAAAGGATCAAGGCTTTATGCGAAGATTTATACCTTCAGGAACATCGTCACATAAACACTAAAAGAGTCGCCCTCTTTCACCTCATTGCGATGGAATATCGCCAGGGTGATTCTACGAAGGCGAAGAAATATCTTGAAGAACAAGAAGTTTTAACAAAGGGCGACGAAGACAGTTGGATAACAAAACTTGGAAGAACATACTCTGACTCGGCGATAGAACGCTCATGTGGTAATTATGAGAAAGCTTGGAAAATAATCCAAGACGTAGGTTTTCAACAGTGTTTCAATGTTCCAGCTGGTCTTATAGCAGCGGCTTTTTATGCCAACGCTGCGTTAATCCTCAGTAAGTTGGTAGACAACGAAGCCTTCATCGCCATGAGCAGGCACGACAAGTGTTTCGTAGACAAAGTACAAGAAAACGTTAAAAAAGTTGAACATTTGTCCAATCTAGCCTTAGAACACCTTAAGTACGTCAAGGATGACTATCAAATTGCCAAAGAAGAACTAAAGCAAAGAATAAATATTGCATTGGCGTCTTTGTATTTGAAATCAGAAAGCACTAGCCATCGGCAAGTGTCCTCGTCTGATATTCACAAGGCAGCGAAAAAGATTTGTGAAGCAGATACCTCGCTAAAGTTGCTTGAGAAAACTAAACGTTTGAAATTTAATGAGTGTCGTATCCTATTGGCCAAATCTGACCTTTGTCTGAGACAATATCAGCTGAAAGAAAATGACATTGACAATGAACTTAGCGACGAGCGTTCGAATTATCTCAGTGAAGCTCGACAAATTGCCGAACAATGCGCTTTCAAAGAAATATTAAACGGCTGCGAATATCGGGAAAAAACGCAGATAGGGAATGCCCCGAAACAGTCCAAGGACAATGAAAATAAATCTGATGAAAGCAAATCAAACGAGATGCTCATGAAAGAATGGCTCGATTCTGAAGACGAGTGAAACTGAATTACTAAAGCACATTATTTTAGGCAATCTAGTAATAATAATAATAATTAAACTGGTAAAAAACCGATCAGCTAATTAATATTAGCTGGTATTAACCGATGACCAGCATATATACAATAATTTACATCTATAATACTATATATTATCTAAAAAAGGTTATATTACATGCAATACAAGTATTGTACCTACCAATATAGTTGCATGTTAGAGCACTATTATTTAATATCAATATAATTGCTCCATCATATATAGCATTGACCTGATCCTCGAAAGGTCCTCGACTTGAAAAAAGATAACAAATTTGTCGTGCAACATCTTCGATATATTTACCTTGTAACTTCGCTTCCTCGACGATAAACGCCATGATTACAGCACTGGTTTTCAACGAGTCAAAATTTATACCAACAAGGAGTTATTATCAGAAGGAAATAAAATTTCCCCGGAGGGTACTTACCTGAAGGGGAGATGTAGTTCTCCGAGGACCTTCGAAGACTGATAGGAGCAATACTGGTGCAGATCCGCGGCCGGCAGCGGTCTGGAACCCACAATTTTTTTGACATGCGTACTAACCATCCTCTTATTGAGTTGACTGCTGAGGTTTGTTTATGATTCATGTAGCTGGGCGGGGTGGACTAGGGAAACCACCATGGTTGGGGTACCAGTATTGCTCCTATCAGTCTTCGAAGGTCTTCGGAGAACTACATCTCCCCTTCAGGTAAGTACCCTCCGGGAAAATTTTATTTCTCCTTCGTACCTTCTCCGACTGATACTCACAATACTGGTGCAGATATACAAAGATAGCTATGTGAATCATGTCATCACTAGTAAGCACTTCTTCAAGAACAAACTTTAATAACTATAAAAGCAGTGTGAATTTGGTACAGTGCATATAACCTATGGTACCATTGTTGGAAGTTAATATCTTAATTAATTTGTAAGATTTCATTTATTTAATGACAAAGCGTCTTGATCGTTAATAGCATCAAGTACCATATGAGCAAATCTAGATTTCTCTGCTCGTTTATGATAATGTTTCTCAAAAGTTTGTGCCGAGGACCAGTGCGCAGCCTCCAAGACGACTTCTATGGGCACTCCACTGTCGATAGCTTCCGAAGTTGATGCTGCCCTAGTCGAATGTCCTGTAAAGCACACATCCACTCCAGCTAATCGAATTAAGGTGCATATCCATCTTGAAATGGTCTGGCTTCCCACTGGTTTGTATGGACTGACATATGAAAGTAGGAGTTCCTTGTGCTTTCTATGGTTACTGGTACGTTTGAGATAATGCTCCAAGCACCTCACAACACAAATGGTGCAATCTTGTTGGTAACGTCCCAGGAATATCTTCCTAGAGGGATGATAGGGCCTGGAATTCTTCACGTAAGTTGGAATAGTGAACTCATAGCTGTTAGCTTTCTTTGAAAGATAATCGCAGTGAAGGGCTGCAATTTCATGAGCCCTTGCGGCTGAAGTCAAGGGTAGCAGAGTGGTTAGCTTCAACGTTAAAAGTTTCTGAGAAAGTCCTGCTAATGGTTCTAATGATGACAAAAATTGCAGCACTGGACCAACTTTCCAAGTTGTGCAAACTCTAGGGGTTGCTGGTCGAAGCTGGAAGATGCCTTTCATAAAGCGGGATACTAGGGGTAAGCTGCCAAGTTGCAAGCCATCAACTGGGTCATGCATTTGTGAGATGCAAGATTTATACACACCTACTGTTCTTTATGCGAGATTACGTTCGCTAAATTGGGTAGATAGAAATTCCAAGACATCAGTTACAGGGGCTGAAAAGGGACATTTATTCCTCTGCGTACACCAGCTAGCCCACAGCTGCCATGGTCCTTTATATCGCTTCTGAGTGCTTGGCCTTCATGAAGCCAACAGGATTCTGCACACCTCTGGTGAAAGGCCTGTTGTTTGCAAACGAGACCTGACAGCGGTCAAACAGCTAGACGCAGATTTTTCCACATTGGATGGATAGCCTGCTGCTCGAAAGGTAAGAAGATCGTCCTTTCTGCTATTAGTAACTGCGCTGGAAAATCTACCAGCAACTCCAGAAGAGTCGGAAACCAGGGCTGCCCTGGCCATGTTGGGGCTATTACTAGCCCTGTTGCTTGATCCTGTCGCAGTTTTTGAAGAATCCGAGGCAGGAGCACTATTGGAGCATATATAAACACAGTCCACTGCCCCCAGTATTGAAGGAAAGCATCCGTTGCCATTGACCCTGGGTCGGGGTATCTTGCCACATAGCGAGGAAGCTGGTGGTTGATGCGAGATGCAAATAGGTCCACCTGTGGTGTGTAGAACCTTTTGGTGATCATCTGGAACACTCTCTTCTCCAAGGTCCATTCTGTTCGGTTGTTGAAATTCCCTGACGCAAAGTCCGCTTCGACATTGGTCACTCCTGGAACATGTCTCGCTGTAATCCATATCTGCTGGGAAATGCAAAAGTTCCATATCTCTAATGCCAGAGATGCCAAAGTTGGTGAATGTGTCCCCCCTCGCTTGTTAATGTACGAAACTGCAGTGGAGTTGTCCATAAGCACTTTAATGTGGTGTGGACGCGTACTGTCTCTCACAAACGCCTGAACGGCTAGGTAAGCTGCCTTCAGTTCCAACACGTTGATGTGAGCTCTGGCTTCGTCCTTCTGCCACTGACCACCTGTGCTTTGTCCCAGAGAACTGGCTCCCCAACCTTTCTTGGAGGCGTCTGTCGATATTATCTTGTCGATTGCTGGAGGGTTCAAGGCCATCCCGTTGATTTGATGCAGTCTCTCTGAAGACCACCATTTGAGTTCGCAAGATGCTTCCTTCGTCAGGGCAATGAAGTACGTCTTCAACCTTGTGAAGTGGCCTCTCTTGTGGAGCGCTGCAATGAACATCCTTTGAAGGGCTTGGTAGTGCAATGGTGCTTCCCAGATTCCGATTCGGGCTGTCTGATTCATCCGCCCCAACATAGCCGACAACTCCTGCATGGAGCACCCCTGCCTGGTCAGGATCTCTGTGCTCTCTTATTGTGTGTGACAAAGTTTCTCCAGAGGAACTGCTATAGTCAGGTTGGTTGAATCCAGTTGTGCACCCAGAAGGATGATTACTTGTGTTGGTGAGGGTGAGCACTTCTCGAGTTTTATGATAAAGCCAAGGTCGGTAAGAAGGTTTGTAACAATCTTAAAAATTGTTTGTAGCTCTTTCCGGTGGTGATGAAGGATCAATAGGTCGTCCAAATAAATCACTACTCGTATCCCAGATCTTCTCAGGAGGCAATGATTGGCTTGACTAGTTTGGTGAACGCCCGTGGTGCCGATGAGAGGCCGAAGGGTAGACACTGGTATTCGTATGTTGCACCATGAAAATGAAACCGAAGGTACTTCTTGTGTTCTTCTGCCATTGGGATAGAGTAATAGGCGTCCTTCAGGTCCAGTTTCATGAGAAAGTCGTTTGGTTGCAACATTGTTTTTACTAGGTCCAAATTTTTTAGTTTGAACTTTTCTGTGCGGACGTAATTGTTTTGTGTCTTCAGGTTGTTCTTGTTCGCCTGCTGTACTATGAACATCCCTTCACTTCCTAATATCCCTTCACTGTCTCTAAGACCGACTGGTCTGAAGTTATTATTTTCCAGTTTTCTATAAAGTGTTTTATTCGACCCGCTGTCTGGTTCTCTTGCAATGCAATTTTGTTGAGTTGAGGGATCATATAGTCAGCTGTTGTTTTGAGTGTTGGGCTCCTTGGAATTTCTTGGTCGCTTGTGGAAGGGAGGTCTGTATGAAGATGAGCGACTAAAATCTGGTTTTGGGTCTCCTGAGGATTTATAGGACCATTTGCGTTTCCCCCAAGTACGTTAACTGCTGGCAGTGGGGGACGAAGTGGCACAAAAGGGCTGCCTTGGTCGGTCCTTCTGGTACTGTGGCTTGGGGGGAGCTGCAATAACTTTGGAATTTGTCTTGGAATGATCATGCTCGCTTTGGACTACTTGATAAAATTTATCAGGGAAGAGATGTTTATCGGTTGGAATATCATCTTTTAGAATTCTCTTACCAACATCGGTGAGAAATACTCCAAAACGCTTTTGGCGCCATGCATTTAATCGGAAGCTTGCATTACCCAGTAAAACCAGGGCATCTTCCAGGTATGCTTTTATTTCGTCCGGGTCAGGACCAGTGCCCTCGTCACTCTCATCAAGACTTGGAGGCTCTTCGAGGCAGTCTAATGCTGCAGCAATAGGTCGTGCAACAGCCAGGAAGGGGGCTTGCTTCTCCACGAGGCCATCATCTGATGTGAAAACCTCTTTCGTCTTGTGGTAACCAAACTTTTGTTTGATATATTCTCTAGTACCTGTTTCCATTGTAGGGGCAACAAGCACTTGATCCATCCCTTTTATTGGGGGATACTTTTGCATAAGATTAGACCAAACTTCTTTAGAAAGACGCTTGGTGAAAGCTGTGGTCAAGAAAGTTGTAACTTCTTCAGACAACTCTGTTTCCTTAGCTTCAGAGTAATATTTGGCAGGGCGACTGTTGTGTTGTAGTGTATCGTTTACACTTTCCTTTGGTAACCCTTCTACTGAATTTGTTGGCTGAGGTTGAGCAACAGTTGTTACTGCTTCTTTCAAAAGCATTGGTGAAGTGTTGCGAATTGTACTAGCCACTTGCTCAGCAACCAGTGTACGAATGTCATCGGTAAGTGATGATCTGTCCGAGTTGTTACTCTGAACAGTCTCAACCTCCATCTCCTGCAAGGCTGGTACCTGCAGGGTGGAAACAGTCCATTAGACTGTAATTTTGGTTTGTTCGAGTTGGTACTCTGAACAGAGCTCTTTTTTTTTCTTTTTTCTTTATTTGGTGTCTGTGAACAACTACTAACGGTACTAGTCTTTATTCGTAATATGTACAGTTAACTGAAGCTAAATATAAGTGCTATACATTAACTAGTTGGAATCCTCATCGTATTCAATAAAACTAGTCGATTCTATTATTCGTGACTTGCCAACACCAAAATGTCAAGTTTTTTTGTTATTTTAATCTAAGTGACTGAAATCTCGCAGTACAACAAGAGAAAAGTTCACTCACCTGGTTAGTAGCCATCTTTCATGAATTTACTAATGGATGTTAAATATTTATGAGGGATTATGCGATTTTTTTTCGCTTGTTTGTAAATGAGTTCAAACCGAAGCTTGCCCACGAATAAGAGGATGGTTAGTACGCATGTCAAAACAATTGTGGGTTATAGACCGCTGCCGGCCGCGGATCTGCACCAGTATTGGGAATCAGTCGGAGAAGGTACGAAGGAGAAAAATTGCTGTTGGAAATCTTAAGCAAAGACCTTCACTTCTGGGGCCGGTTGTTCAAAAGACGCAGTGGCGTAGCCAGCCTGTCGATTTTGTCCCGCTATGTAAATTTCGAGTTATTATAATTATTTATGTTTTTAGAAATGTATTGTTTTCACAGTCAGTGAACACCAAAATATTAGCATAGCGGGACAGATTGACTGGCTGGCTACGCTACTGAAAAGACTTTTATAACTTAACCATGGGTTAACCTAACACTTTACATAAAATTTTTTCATTGCTTGTTTATAAAAGTTGAATATCTTTTCCATTAGTATTTTCTGGTTCAATAGAAGTTATATTTTCTAAAGGTTCTAAAACAAACAGTGGTTCAGAAGCACATAAACTAAAACAGTGGATTAAAATTTAACCCAGGGTTAGCGATAATCTAGCTTTGAACAATCGGCCCCTGCATGCTTAATTCAAACACTGTTTGCATAAATTAACAGCGAACCAATCACATACGATTCCCACTTTTTCGGGTAATTGTATGTGTTTGGTTCGCTGTTAATTTCACAAAAATTAACAATTCTCCACAGACTACAGTGAAGACTTCCGCCAGATTGATATACAGAGATGTTCCAATTTTTTAATTATGTTTAACCCTTCACATTTCAACCGTTCACATTAAATTAAACTTTATTAATTTTAAAATGAATATAACAGTAATAATGAAAACATTATTGATTGGATTCTCCCCCCTATCCAACTGCAATAACAAACCTAAGTTTTATCACTGTCTATCATGAACTGTTAAATGGCACAAGTAATTATTTTAAATTAACGAAAATTACATCTAAGTTCAGAATAATTGAACATTTGAAAATTATTCTTGATATTTACCATCCGCTTCATTTTCGACATCATCAGTCATCAGTTGCTCGAAAGTAATTCCCATCAATATTTTTCCTATTGTGGAATCGTACACATCCTTCTTGGAATTTCTTGGTAATACACCACTCACAGTAAATACATTATGTGCCTCATTATCATTTGCTTTATAAACACCAGAAGATAAGTTTCCATAGCGTTGTTTTCCATACTCCAGTTGGATTGTTGGCAATTGGAAGGAAAATGGTAGCTCTTCGGGGCCTAGGATATTTCTAAAATCTTCATAAAATTTATTGAATGCGTTTCGGGTTTTCCTCCTTTCTTTTTCCCAATCTTGTGTTGAGCAAGTTTGTTTTTCCATATCCTTTGCACATTTCTCCACATTTCCAAGCTTTTGTTTACACTTTCCTTTACCTGTCAAAGGATGTCATTGTTCAGTCGTATCAGTTATTAGTAAACTGAACATTTTAAAATTAACTATAGTTTTTGAGCCAGCGCATATGCTCAAGGTAGAACGTAACAGGCACGAGGTGCTCGTTATTCTTAAAAATATACAAAACATATTACGCATGAAATTGTAGGTATAGAATAAGGAAACTTATAATATACATAAAAAATATTCTCAATTCTGATTGGTTTAGAGCAGTGCAATATCTAAAAAATCTGCCAAAAATGGGAAATCTGAGTGCCAAAAAAAGGAAATCCCAGAGCTAAAGTGTTATAATTGTTGTGTCTTCATATCAATTAAATTTTATAGTAAAAACTTTGAAACAGTTCTATTTTTACACGATTTGAAAACAACATGCAACTGGGCATGAACTAAAAATTTTATTCATTTATCTCATAAAATTTTATTCATTTATCACATAACACATTAAGATTTATAATGAACTACATTTGAGAATATTAAAGTTGTGTTTACCACAAAAGAATTACTTTTTGAAGCTGTGCCGGATGAAATATTTTTAAGTGTAAAAGCTTCCTACTTCATTATACACCGGGAATTCGATCGAAAATCTGGTCTTGTTATTTGTTAAACCGTAAAAAGTCCTGACCACATTCGAGTTTCCTTCTAACATAATTAATATAAATTGTATAAAAATTTTGCAAAATGACATTGACAGTTATTCAATGACGTTTGAAAATGAAAATTTTTGTTTCGACCAATCAAGAGCTTAGTAGTTCATACTGGCGCATGCGCATAACGTAGAAGACCGCCATGGCTGGGGCGAACTACTTTGATTTCGCATTCGCACATCGTGGGTGTAAATATCCGGACGGAATTAGTACCCTCGCACGGTGCTCAGGGATAACATTTGAGGTTTTTTCTTTGTCTCTAAAGATTTTGTACTGTTTTAATCGTTTGAAGGCTTCGATTTTAACCATTACTTAATTGCTGCCATTGTATAATGCAGCAAAATTGAACGGGTAATGTTTACACTAGCTTTATGATTATATTTGTATTGATTGATGGAAAAATTAGCTATGATATACTCGGTAAAATATAATAAGACTGATTTGAGTTTTGTGTCATTTCATAACATAGGTTTAGGTCAGGTTAACTCAGGAAATTGTGTACTTGGTTTCAATGGCGTAGCCAGCCTGACGATTTAGTCATGCTATGAAAATTTTATGTTATTATCATTATTCATTTCTTTAGAAATTCATTGTTTTCACAGTCGATGAACACCAAAATATTAGCACAGCATGACTAAATTGTCGGGCTGGCTACGCCACTACTTGTTTTGAAATAGCGAGGGGTTGCTGCATGCATGTATTTCTAGTTATTATTATTAGACAATAGCATAGATTCTGGTGCAATTTGGAATAAACATGTACTTGTGAGTTTTTCAAAGACTTCAAATTGCACTCGTCCTTCGGATTCTTGCTATTTTGAGGTCCTTGAAAAACTCACAAGTCGCACTCGAAAGTCGAAACCATGCTATTACCTATACTAATTGTATAGTACTACCTTCTTCTAGATGCCCACGTATAGATGCCCTCAATGCTTGATCTCTAGGCGGATGGCTCCAGATAGTAATATTACTATGAGGAAGCCTGGCTCTCACATAGGTCTGGTTGTCACATTCAAGGGAAACCAGTTGCGGTGGCGAGTTAACATCTGAAGCATCATACACGATATGTTTGGCAATTAAATCAATTCCTTCGCAACTTCCTTGAAGTTTCATCTTCTCCCATTGCTCGCTAATAAATTTCGCCAGCTCCGGGTTTTCGTCAGGATTTTGCATGGAAATGGCCCATGGGTCATCGCGATCTGCAGAATATGTATTTCTTGTAAACGCAGAATTCAGCCCGATTGATATGATGAACACAGTTGAGTTCAGGGTTGTGGAAACAAATGGACAGCAAAAGTTCTCAAGTTTTATAGTACTTCCTGAAGTTCTGGGAGGAACAGGCCATTCCTTTTTGATAAAATCTTTAAGTCTACCCATATCTTTGTTATGTTTCTGCCAAACTATTTCTTGGTTTCTGGTCGGTCCTAATTGATGCTCAGAATGCGATTGACTTTGAGGCTCCATCAATTGCGCGGAGGACAAATCTCGGACGTCTTCGTATTGTTGATGCAAACGATTTTCCAATGTACTTTATACACACGATTCTAGAAAAGCATTTTTATTATTTAGTTTGGATATGCTCTGCTTAAATTCAGTTCTTTAAAGTGTTTCTGCAAGGAAAAACGAAAGATCTGAAAAGTTTATATGCCTATATAGACTTGGTAAAAATAGTTTTTGTTAGTAAAAGCGCTGCGGAAGTCTTCAAAACAGCCTAAAATAAATGAACATTACGCGCTTTTTCAATCGTATACTGAAAAAAAAAAACTGGTACCGAGAGTACCGGGCTTGTGACGTATGCATGCAGGCGTTCTCCTAAAGAACTATATCACTAATCGCGGCGGACAGTGCGTTGTAGATTTTTCGTTCGAACGTAAAACAGCCGATAACCAACGGTTTGGATTATATATATAGATGATAAAGAACACTCGCCAGCCCTAAAGAAGGCGGTTTTAGTCGGTGGTCTGTTGTACAACTCTTTCAGTCTGAGCTAGTCGACGGAAACGGAATTTTTCGAGACATTCGAAGTGGGATTTAAAACCGTATGTAAAACTACAGTTTAACAGAGCAATCTAATGTCAAAGCATTCCCATAACTGTATGCTTTAACAAATTTAACGTTTCATTTCACATACTATATGGATTTATTTTAATACATAGCTTGTTGTACATATGGACATTGTAGTAGACGACGCAAAGAGTAGCTATACCGGCGGTATATTGCTATAAAGAACATCATAATCAGTATAGTCACGTATATATTAATCTCCCATATATTTATTTTGCGCACTAGCAAAAATTCACAATTGAAAATACCATTTTGTTATAAACGCATATTTCATGACTGATATAATTATAAGGAATTAAATATTTATTGTCAATAATCCTTTAGTAAGTGCAAAACCAACCTTAACCTATATATGGGATGGAATCGGGTCGTCGTGGCGGTCGGTCATGAAAATTTAGGCCCCACGGAATCAATAAATACTACTGCAAAAATTCCTGCGATTTACCTGAACATTTAATACAATTAGTAGAAAATGATATCATAAACAAACAAGTATGGCTGGCTGAAGATTCAGCAGGAGGAGGAAGATTGACACACTTATATAATCGGTACAAGTACATAGAAGAAGAAGGAAAGAAATACGGTTATTTAGTAAATGGTCCAAAGTGTTGGCTGATAGTGAAGACGCAAGACCTGGCCAAGCAAGCAGACCAGATCTTTGGAGAAGAAGTTAATATTACAGCAGAAGGAAAACGTCACTTGGGAGCTGTTATAGGATCCAAAGAATATAGAGATCAGTATTGTAGAGATAAAATTCATGGATGGGTACAAGATATCTCATTACTCGCAAAAATCGCGAGAAGCCAACCTCACGCAGCCTACATTGCCCTTACGAAAGCATATAAATCAAAATTTACCTACTTTATGCGAACAATTGAGGACTTCGAAAAGCATGTAGACCAGATACACGAAACATTGAATGACATTCTCTTACCACAACTTTTCGGCCGAGAAGAACCCTTTGCGAGTGAACTTAACCTAACACTAGCTCAAGGGCGTACTGAATTCTAGAATGGTAGCTCCACTGCAATACCAAAACGAAAACTGTTAAGTCAAGAATATGGATATCATTAACACTATCCCCAGACCTACTGTTCTTGGTAAAGCAATCAAGAGACAAAGAAGCGAGTTCCTTCCTAAACGCGATACCACTCAAAGATCAAGGTTTAGCTCTTAATAAGCAAGAATTCAGAGACTCGTTACAAATGAGATACAATCTAACTCTGGATGATTTACCAAGCCATTGTGCATGCGGAGATCGCTTAAACGCCTATCATGCCTTCTCTTGTAAAAGGGGGGGTCGTGGCGCAAACGCATGATGGAGTCCGTAATTCGCTAACAACACAACTTGGTAAAGTGTGTAAGAACGTAGAAATGGAGCCTCATCTTCAACCCCTTGACAACGAGAGATTTGACCTGAGATTGGCCAACATAAGTTCTGAAGCAAAATTAGACGTGAGGGCAGATTGTTTTTGGCTACGTGGAGCTACTGCATTTTTCGACGTAAGAGTGACGCATATAAACTCCAAATGTAACCAAGGCCGGCCAACCCAGATCAATTTCAAGGAACACGAGAACGAAAAGAAGAGAAAATACGACAGTTTTAGACTTCAAAATTTACTTCACTCGTTTTCAGAACCAATGGAGGAATGGGATCTGAATGCCACAAGTTTCTTGCTCAGTTGGCACAGAAATTAGCAGAAAGAGATCACGAACGATATGCAGTTGTCATAGCGTGGTTGAAAACCAGAATCTCTTTTGAAAAGGTCGGTACATGTGAGTGTAAGGTCGGTACATGGTCTAGATAACCTTTTCATAGAAAAGAACTTGAAGTTTTAGACGATTTTGCGCTAAATGCTAAGGTTGCTGAGGTTTTTTAAATTTTAATTCTAACTTGAATTAAATTTTGATTATAACTTGATGCGCAAGTGACTCTTTTAAACTTTGGGAAAAACAACAATTAATTCGATTTGAATAAGAGTTTTAAACTGCCACACTGAAAATAATGCATGTTAATTAGAATAGTTAATTAGTTTCAATTAGTTTCAATTAGAATGTAAATAAAAATTTTAATATCTTAACCTATGTAACACGTACACGCATGTAGCAACCACGATCAGTGAAAATTGCGCAAAGAAATGAATACAGCACAATGCATCAACCAATGCATGTATATGGACGAAAGCATGCACTAACAAACCAGAAAGCTGAAGAATAAAATAAGCTTATGTAGTTGAAATGTAACCTTGAACTAAGACCATGACCATATGAACTAACGTTCTTAGCTCCTAGCTTTATTTTCCCTAGCATATATAAATCCAGTTTCGCATGTATTCTGTCATCGTAAAAACGGTATATCAAATCATAATTATCCAACTAATATACATAATCATTCAAATAATATCTACACAAATGCTTGGGTGCACAGGCATGGGCAAAAGGTGCACACATCTTGAGAATTAAATTACTAAAAGCAAGCACGTATCGCCGCAGTAAAATGCTATTCAGATATAACGTGTGTTCTGATTGGTCAAAGCCCGTGTTTGAATCAGTTCATCAAAACATGGGAATTTAACATTTATAGTACGCGCGTATTGATTGGTCGAGAAGCGTGTTTCTATAACTGTATAGAAACACGGGAATTTTCCCGCCGAACTTGACAAGCGAAGCGATGTAATGAGAATTTGTAATTGAATCGAATTATAATATTTGTACAAAATCTTTTTATCGAGTTATATTATAAAAGAAATAGAAAACATTTTTTCCTGTGTTTCTATACAGTTATAGAAACACTTGTAGGAGTTTGGGAGAACTCAAAATAACGTGGAAAAACTCGCCCTACGGGCTCGTTTTCCCACTGATCATTTCTCGTTCTCCCAAATTCCCACGCGTGTTTCTATAACTGTATAGAAACACGGAATATGTTTTCTATTTCTTAATTACAAATGTTAAACTATATATACATTTCCGTATGACCCGCAAGACCGGCATTGAGCGTTTAGCTAATATTTTAAAAGGGTGATGTTTCCTTAGGCGGAGTGACCCGCGGATAGTTTTCCAAAAAAATAGCATGAATTCCTGTTTTATTTCGCTAACTTGAAGTTTTTAGCTGTTGTTTAAAAACATGGTAACTTCTGGATATAATGTAGTTCAATCATCGGGTATTAGGTTGTAGTTTTTGTGACGTATCTTCATGTAAATTCGTAGATAATTATATATTTACGTCTATGTCTGTAGCGTTTTGCTAAACTTTTTGTACTTTGCATTATATATGGACGTAGTAAACAAAGTAAACGCGACACGCGCGCGAGTATCACACGCGCACACGCGAATATCAGCAAAGTCAGGGCTGCCTTAGCCTGCAACGCAGACTATATATTGGGGTATATATAGTCCAATATATAGTCTGCGTTGCAGGCTAGGGCTGCCTATTTTTACGCTGCAGCGTCATCACGACCGAGGAATTTCATCAGTTTACATTTTCATAGCCGAGCTTTGAACCTAAATTTCTTCAACCTCTACTCCTCTAGTCCGAATTATTCGACAAGCCGGTGGCATTGAAATCAAATTTTCATATCTCGCCAAAACCTAGAAATTAAACGTTTCATTGCATATACACCTTAAGTTGTCTACTGGCTCTTGTTTGAGCACAATAAAATCTAAAAACTTCAACGATATCTGTACTGTGGGATGGGGATCATCGTCTGTCTAGCTGTTCGAGCGATTTATTTTCATTCGACAAGTCTTGAAGGGTCGGGTAGTCAGGGTTTAAATCCTTTTCTTTGTTTCTATAGATTTATCTATATCACTAGCTTTGGCAGTTTGGCTTCTTTGTATGCTATATATGTCAGTGTTTTATCAGATATATCAAATCTACACTGCTTAATACCGATGTCAAGCGAAGTCCAATCTCCTTTCAGCTCAAAAATTTCTTCGTACACTGCCTTTGTTATTAATTTTCTAAATATGCTATGCAGAGTAATGCATTCCCGATCGTGTTTGTCGTTGGCCATAGACATAGTAACAACCACTGTGAAGTTAGCCGCGGATTCAGTCTCAGATTTGGCCGCATATTTAATTAACTGAGTTCGATCATTCAAAAGTAGAATTTTTGTCATTTAAGTATAACAGCCATTTTTGCGTTCAACTATAAATTTACGAAAGATGTATAGTTGCTTGACTGTAGTTAGAATAAAGCAGTTGGTTTTACAAAAAATATGCACTGCGACTGTTTGAAATGGTTGACCCACGTCAATATAGCGTAAACCACACTATGTCCCACTTCCGCATACATGATTGACGATTGCTTCGGAAGTCGACTATGTTTTAATTAACTCATTGCCGTCCGATCAGGTGACATTTCGAACTGGTTTGCTGATTATAACTTGCGATTCCTGTTCGAATACTTGACCGATTTTAACAAAAATAGAAGCGATTTAAAGAAGAAATTGTCCTCGGTAGATACATGTTTTTTTTTATATTGATATGTTGTCAATTCGCTAAGATATTCGCTTTAAAGTACATGTGCTTTTTATATTATTCAATATTGCACATCAAAGCGGCCTAATCCTTAAAATATTGCCCAAAATGCAAAGAAACACCCCTTGCAGTGGTTTAGTTCACATATTCAGGATTATTTTGATATCTTTAGCGTCAAAATCGAGCTTTTAGAAGATTTTTGCCGATTTTTTATATAAACATACATTGATGATATGAATTCGCGTCACCGGCGATATTATTTCACAATAATAAAAATATCGAAAAAAATTTCGGGCAAAAAAAAGCCGAAAATCTGCCCCCTAGGTCCAATTTTACGCCAGAAATCGATTTCCGGGGTCAAATTTACCCTAGGGGGGATGCATTAGGGAGTTTTGTCACATTTTCCAGCCGCATGACAACATTCCGAGCATGCGGTAAGCACGCGCTTAGCAACAATTGATCGCTTAGAACTTATAAAATGATCGCTTAGAACTTATAAAATGCTATTTTCTCCGCTTCTTTTGAACATCCTACCCCAACAATTACTCAGAATTATAACAGAATGATAGTATCTAAAATTCAGACATTTTAAAGAACACAGAGAACAAAATAAGCGAGAAAATACTGAATTTCTAAAGTATATGGTTGCTATGCATGGGGAGTAATTTGAGATAACAAGGCAACCTATTATTTTGATTCATGTTTTGACTTATAATACAAATGCAGTTTATTACTATATGCGGGTTTGAAAATACCATTTAAATCGTCTTTTCAAGCTCTATCGTTTGGTGTTATTCCGGGGTCTTTAGCCTAAATACTCGCTGAGATATTTGAGTTTTGCTTTTCCCGACAATATTGTCGGGAGCAATAGTGACCAGACGAGAGTGATTAAAGAATTATACGGCCTTTCAAATACGAAAATGTTCTATAGAATCCTATAGAATATGCTATAACATATTCTAAATCCCATAGAATATTCTATAGGACTTCTTATCCTATAGCATATTCCATTGCCATATTCTATAGAATTTAGAGATGCTATAGAATATTCTATTGCACATTCACAGTAAAATATATTCTATAGAACATGCTGTACACAATATTCTATAGAATTTAGAGATGCTATAGAATATTCTATTGAACATTCACATTAAATATCCAATAATATATTCTATAGAACATGCTGTACACAATATTCTATAGAATATATGTTATACAGAATGAGACCTTTATGCAATTTAAAATATAACATTTTTAGTACACTATTCATTGGTCGAGAATTATAATCGCATTTTTTGTAAGGTTCTCTCAACATACTTTTAAAGTCTTAAAGTTAAAATTCTCAGCAGAAATCATTCGTTTTGTAAAGACAACTCACGAATATTTCACACATATGACATATCTCATATCTACGGTGGCCCATAAGGGACACCGCTTCACACTAAAAAGCGTGCGCGATTTCTACATAAAAGTTGCGCCTGCTCCGTAGAAATAGGCCTTCTCCGTAGAAATAGGCCTTCTCCGTAAAAAAATAGGCTTTCTCTCCGTAGAAGTGGACCTTCTCCGTAGAAATAGGCCTTCTCCGTAGAGATAGGCCTTCTCCGTAGAAGTGAACCTTCTCCGTAGAAATAGGCCTTCTCCGTAGAAGTGAACCTTCTCCGTAGAAATAGGCCTTCTCCGTAGAAGTGAACCTTCTCCGTAGAAATAGGCCTTCTCCGTAGAAGTAGGCCTTCTCCGTAGAAATAGGCCTTCTCCGTAGAAGTGAACCTTCTCCGTAGAAATAGGCCTTCTCCGTAGAAATAGGCCTTCTCCGTAGAAATAGGCCTTCTCCGTAGAAAAATAGGCTTCTCCGTAGAAATAGGCCTTATTTCAAATTTCCATACCATTCATATTTTTAGCACTATATATCGGGTTAAATTAAACGAAATTATAGTGGTGTACTGATAGTGTAGTGGTCAAACTCCCAAATTGAACATCTACAATACCTTTTGGTTAGAAAAAATAAGGTAATAAGGGGTTTGGGTTTATTTTTCAGTGTAATTTGTCTTTAAAAATAATAAGAATGGTTCGAGCGTTTGGTTGATGGAAAATAGTGCTACCTCTCTCTCCGCCCGTGATGTAACGCATCCCCCCGTTTTTAATCGTTTCTGTCTTTCGTTTAATCGTTATTCTTCGTGAAACTGGTCGAAATTTTGTAATTGTATCTAAAACTACAGCCTTTACACACATTTGGGACCAAAATAGAGTATATTTGAAGAGAAATTATATTAAATCTTAAATTGTTTTTATCTAGAAATTGAATTCGATTTCAAAACTAATTCCAGGTTTCCGGCTTCCGGTCCTTTCCCGCGTTTTCAGGTTAATTTCAATTAATGGCGACAGATTGAAAATGGCAAGATTTTGTCAAGATTGTGGGACGAGATATGCAAATGACCAGGCGAATTTTTGTCATAACTGCGGCAAAAAAACCTCTGGAGGTAAAGGAGCTCATTGAATTCAATGATTAAGACAAATTATTCTACTTTTACTTGCCCTAAGCAAACCAAATATTTCAGAGTTACTTTGATTTTTTAAAATACTCATGAACACAGTATTCACAGTAGTGTCTATAAAGACCCAAGCAATGCCCAATCAACTGCACTATAAAAATAATACATAGGTCATTGCTGTGTTAACAGTTGCACATAAGTAATTACATTAGTATGTGAGTGTGTAGTCTAGGACCTTTTTGAGTTTGTATGTGATTCTTTTACCACAGATAAACTCAATTGTTTTAGGTTAAGAAATTAATGACCATGGTGGTCAACATAACATTTGGACCCTTAAATTTGCAATCAAATGTAATTAATTTTTACTAATTGCAAATTGCTAATAATGAATTACTATGAGCAACCAGATATAATGTCAGTGGAGAATTCCTGTTGTTTCTCAATTCACTGCAACTCACTACACATAAATCAATGTAGTGACCCTATCCTTTGATGATATTGAGAGAATTTTTATTCATATGGTGTTGCACATTATATGTCTTTGTAAATATTATAGAAAATCAGCCATCAAATTCAACTATTAGTACTCCATCATCAACGAGTACTTTAAAACCCTCACCAAATCTTCAAACGCCAAAATCAACGTTAAGCTATGAGGAATTCAAAAAAAGGAAACAGCTAGCTCGAACAAAGCAAATACAATCAGCAAAAAAAGCAAAAACTAATGAAGAAGCGAAAGTTCAAGTTGGTGTTTTAGAAGCTGATGGAGGAAGGTTAAAGAGGCTTAAGGGAAGAACACTTCCATTGGTTATTGCATCAAGTTGCAATGCAGATGGCCTACTCAAGGCAGCGATAGAGAAACATACCAAACACTTTAAACAGTTTGACAAATATGCTGATTACGTTCTTCTTTATCCTGAACATTCTATGGTCTAGAGTTTGCCAGGCAGTTCTGTAGATTTCGTTCTGAATGAATACAAAAAAGATTTAGGCAAACCATACTCGAAAATCTATTTTTATTTGTGTGATAAAATAGATTTGGAAAGGGTTAAAGATTTTGCAGATATTGGATCTGATGAGGACATATTGATGCCCAAAGGTGAAAAGAAGGAAATAAAAATGGAAAGTGCCATTAATATAAGTGATGATGATGAGGAAATAAAATATGTTCAAGCTCCCGAAACATCATGCCCCACTTGTTTCAGAATGTTTCCATTTGACCAAATTGAGGCTCATGCAGATATCTGCGTAGATAGTCACATTGACCCTATTGGATATGTATCAGATGATAATTTGGAAGAAATATGGAATGATTCTCCTGAAAAATGTACTGATGGGGATGAGGTTGAGAATACAAGTCCTGACATTATGATGGAAAAAATGAAAGCTCTGGTAGCTGAACTTGCTGAAAATGTCCAGCCTGTCAAAATCAGAATAAGCGTTAGACGAAAGTCGGTGTTTACAGACTATTTGGAAACAGCTAAGAAGCCATGGTTCAATAGTAGTCGGATGCTCAAAGTAACCTTCATTGGCGAACCTGCGGTCGACGATGGTGGGCCGCGTCGTGAGTTTTTTTCAGGTTTGCACAAATAATTAATACCGGAAATGAATTTTTAGTTTATTAGTGACGTTATTTTTGGAGATTGTGGCTACCTCCTCCGCAGGCCCTTTTGCAGGCAGTGATATTTTGTGGGCGGAAATTTAGAAATGTAACTTTCTGAACCTGCCCGAAATACCTTAGCGCCTGCAGATGAGGTGGAGGTTGTGGCATAAGGCTTACAGCGGGGGCCAAATACATTAGCAACTTAGTGCCAAAACCCGAATCCAGGGCGAAATCCCTACCATGACAATCGAATGACACTGTTGATGTGGTTCTAAATTCTGAATCACTAGAAAAACAGCTTTTCTGAATTAATTGCTTATATAGCGTGTGCTTAGAATGGTTGATTTTAGGGGTGGTCATATTGTCATAGGATAAAAATATATGCCCAAT